AAGACAGTATTTCCTCACATTTCAGTCCACAGCAACTCATTGATAATGTCAATATCAACTACAAGAGTGACATGGTTGCTGAGCTTGGACAGTATGTTCATGCAATTGGGACGGATTCCAACAATTCGATGGAACCACAAAGTATTGAAGCGATCTACATTGAACCTATGAAGGGACAACGTACTGGGCGCTGAGTGCTGAACCTCAATACTAAGAAGATGATTTCTCAAGTATGTATATGTCCAAAATGAAAATACAAAACAAAATAAACAGTGAATGAGAGCTTGTCCCATTGCTGCCAATGGTGATTGTCACAATGGCAGGAGTGTGTTGGGATATGACAAAATATGAGTTTTTAGGTTCCAAAAGAAACTATTCAAGTACGAGGTTTTCGACACGTACGATCGGACTTTGATCGTGATGTCAGGATTTGACGCAAGTCTGCCGGACAATCTATATCCACATGAAAAGGGAATGACCCTATACAAGTGGAATATTGATGTTGTGTACGATGCAGTAGGGAATAATACAAGATGTCCCAAAGTACTGCATTCAACACAGAATACTCCACTCCACCCATGACTGAACCTTTGTACTCGGACTTCAATGGCCCCAACGCCAAAAGGAACAGCCAAGCACTGCTCCGGGGTCTCTATGAAGGTGAGACAGCGGATCCTTACCTGGTGTCATTCCTGGACCATTGCCAAAGGCCGGAGGGCTTGGAAGACCAACCACTGAAAGTGGATCTGGAGGACCATGTTAGCTTCTGGCGTAAGATGGGGGAACACAAAGGTTTGGAGCCACACAGCTTGCATAATGGCCATTTCAAAGCGGAAGTAGCATCCAACTTGCTTGCCTGCTGTGACACGATCTTTCGCTCCATCCCTTTTGCTACAGGATTTGTCCCAGCCCAGTGGTGCCACTTGCTCAACTTTGCAATTGAGAAGAATCCAGGCGAGATTCAGGTGGACCTCATGCGCACAATTCAAATGATGAATTCGGAGCTGTAGGCCAACAACAAGAGAGTGGGGAAATCGGCCATGGCCTATGCAGAGCAGCACAACTTGATCCCAAAGGGACAACATGGGTCTCGCAAGCGTCACCAGGCCATCGATCTGGCCCTTACGAAGCGTCTCACTTGGGACTCTTGCATCTTCAACGCCGCCCTGCCGGGTGGATCTCCAACGATACCAAGTCCTGCTTTGACCGGATTGTCCACTGGATGACAATCATTAGCCTCATGCGCTTTGGGATTCAATGGCGTACCCTTCGCTCCATGTTTGATACACTGATGAAGTCTAAGCACCGGGTGCATACCGGGTTTGGCGATTCAGACCGTGTCTTTACTCCTCCGACCCTGATTCCATTTCAAGGATGTGGACAAGTGAAATGGGGCAGGACCTCCTATCTGGGTTGCAATTAGCTCCATTCTCTTGGGGATGATGATTAGCAAAGGCTTTGGCTTTGACTTTCTGATGTCAATATCTTGGGCTCCGCTCTTGGCCGATTGCTTTTGTTTTGTTGACGACACTGATGTCTGCCAAGCGGCACCGTCCTGACCAGTCTGGGGAATCTATTGTCCCAGAGGTGGCCAAAGCATTGAAATGGTGGTCCAACGGCGTTCGCCTTACTGGTGGCGCCATCCGACCAGATAAATCCTTTTGGTATCTGATTGACTTCAAGTGGAATGCCCAACAAGGGGTATGGAAATTCCGGCGGAAGGGGGATTTCAAACCATCTCTTCTTCCAACAGGAATGTCGGAAATTGCGGTTGAACTGGATGATCTGGATGGCACTCCAGTGCATCTACGGTGGTTGGAACCGGACGAATCGGCGAAGACTTTGGGTATCCTGATGTCCCCCTGCTCCAACAGGAAAGCACAATTTGTGGTGATGCAGGGGAAAGCAAAAGCATGGGCGGACCAGATCCAACCTAGCTTCCTCCACCAATACGATGTCCTCCCTCTCCTTTGCACCACAATCCAGAAGACTTTGGAGTACCCCATGGCGCTCACCTTCTTCTCTCAGCAGGAGTGGGACCGGCTCCTATCCCCAGTGCTCAGGGCGGCACTTCCAAAGGCTGGTATCTGCCGCAACTTTCCTCGTGCTATGGTCTATGCCCCCATTGCACTCCAAGGAGTGGGTGTCCCTCATCCGTACGGTCTCTAAGTCATCAAGCACTTGGACATGCTACTTCGCCATCCTGCCAATAAGACCAAGACAGGCGCCTTCTTGGAGGCAGTCCTTCAGGCACATCAGCTTGAAACCGGTACCTCATACGGCCTCTTCCAACAAGTCTATGCCAACACCTCCATCCTGGCGCCTGACACGTGGGCAAAGCGGACCTGGAGTGAACTCGACTCTCTCTCCATCCACCTGGAGTTTGAACCCCCCCTCTCTTCAGCCACTACGCCAAGGAGACCAACTATTAGTCGGCTTGTTCATCGATTCTTTGGTGGACCAACTTACTTTGAAATGGCTCAACTGTTGTTGGAGTGGAAGCCAAGACGAGGCGATGCGTCCCTCCAAAAGGCCTTGAGACCCAATCACCTGCTGAGCCAAGAAGGCCGGCCGAACCGAAGAGGAGATGGTCCTTGGAGGAATGACGAGATAAGTTGTCGACGATCTGTCTCTCTTTGGGCGTCCCGCCTCTCACAACAGCTGATCTCGATCGGCTTCTACATGTGGGAGCAACGGAACTCCGTTCAACATTCGGATGATAACGTTCAATTACGTGAACGTC